ATCTGCTGCTTTGCAAGTTGGGGGGCTTGCCTGAGGAAGGGGAGGAGATGGATGCTTTATTCATTCTGCATTGGTAGAAGGAATATATGACTTAATTCATTTTATGGCAAGGAAGTGGAGTGTGCTCATACCCTAAAATTAAGAGAAAATCAGGTTTTGTAGGCATTGAAGTCCAGAGCAATGCATACACCAGCCTATTCCTAGGGCAACCTGTAGCACAGACATGACACCAGACTCCCCTTTGCTAAATGTTTGGCATCAGTTTCTCACTGAGGAGGTTTTGGCACCTCCCATTGGATCATCCAGATTTGGCCATGGCAGCAGAGACCAATGGACTGACCCGACCCAGGACTGCCTAGACAGGCTGCTGCAGAAACGCACCACAGATTGTAAACAGGGTGTCACTGCCTCCCCACAAACAACACCCCTGGCTTCAACATTCCTGGTAAAATCAAAGCCCAGAGGTAACTGGAGTAAGTGGAGTTCAGATGCTGGCTTTCTCCTGCTGATGCTTGTGAAGCAGAAGCTCATGTTCTCATAGCTACGTTGGCTCATGAGAGTATGAGAAAATAACTGCACAAGTTTTTGTCCCTAAATAAGCAATTTGATGAGCATAATACCAAAATTACACTTGAAATTAGCTTCATGCAGAGATGCAAATGTACAAGTATTGCTATGCTGCCAGGAGGAGAGCTGTGGCTCTGCACATGCACAAATAATAAGGGACTGAGCTCAACCTGCCAGTCCTGTTCTGATTTCTCCAGTGACTGTTCCAGAAGGAGAAACAAATATTAACAAATATTTGCTGTATTTCCTAAATAGAAACTTGACTTTTTCAGTACAATGCTCTACAGCACAATGAATAAGGAAAGGACAAGAGCAGTGCACGTGTACATGGTGTTTGCATACGTGTCAAGATGGCAAAAATAAAGGGCAAAGACTGGGCACAGGTACTAGCAATTGCTGCAAGTTGGTTTTTATCTCTTTCAAATGCCCTTTTTAAATGTCCTGCAAAAACACAAAAGCAGCAACCACTAAAGCTTTACTGAAGTTACTTCCACTAAACCAAAACTGATCAAACATGGGATTTTTTGTAAAATCATAACTGCGTTTCAAAAGAAAAACAGGGAGAAAAAAAATCAAAATGTAGAAACATTCAGTTTAAGCATCTTTGGTATGAAAAATTTTGACTTTTCACATCAAAATATCTTTTTGCTTAGGGTACTTCCTTGTATTATAACAATACAACTCCACAAAGAGACAAAATATCAGTGTCCTAAGATGGAATTTATCTCAAAAATTTCCTTTCAAAACCATCAAAGCATTTGACTTCCACTTCCATTTAGAATGAAGCCAAATTCCTCAATTCTGATGAAATAGAGCAGCCCAATATGTGCAGTGAAAAAAAAGGCAGAAGCCAGGACACAAGTGACCTCCAAAACCAAAGAGATGAAAACTTCTAAGAAAAACAAAAACCAGCTTAAAAGTTCACTCTGCACAGTAAAAAATATTGTGCTTTCTCCCTGGTGCACAAGGCATGAAACAGTTGCAAGAATAAAGTGAGGCATATGACCAGGAGCCCTGTAATTGTGACTTCTCTAAAGGAGAGGCTGGGCAAATGTCCTACCTGACAGCAAGAAAATAATTTCATCTCTGCACAAGTCAGTTTTCCATGCTGTAAATCAAACCGACTTCCCTCACAAAGTAAGTTTGGAGACTCTCAATTAGATAATGTTTATAAATAACTGTGCAAACACAGGGTAGTAATAACCAGAGAACTGTCTTTGCTACATTGCTGTCTGTTAAACAACCAGGAGCTAAATTTTTCTCTGAACACTTACAAAAGGGAAGGCAGCACTAATGCTCCTCAAGGAGGAAACTACAAAGAACAGATTTTCAGTGCATGCACTTCTCCTTGAAATAAACTGTGTTAAAAGCACTTTACTTAAAAAGCACGATGATAGTAGCATCCTGCTAAATATAGATGACTCACCACAATTTAGTAGTGAACATCCCTAAAGAGGACCATTACATTATTGCTTAACCTGCTGCATAAATTTAAGCATCCTCCTGTGGTTACAGTTTGTTCCAAGACACTCAAGACTACTACCAGCATCCACTGACCTTCAGTGGGTCACAAGGTCTCTCTGAGTCTTGCCTTCTCCATCTGTACTATTGGTACAAGAATAAAAACACTACTCTCCCAAGAAGGCAGGAAAAATAATTCCTAAGTTTCCTAAGTTAAGGAGTTGTTTATACCATACTTTGTATATCCATATTACTACTGAGCGACTAAATATAGCTGCTCCTGAGGCACTCTGAGATCCCTTGAGAACAGAATCTTATAAAAAGAAAATTGCAGTTTAGGCAATACTGAAGAAACAGTGATAAAGAATTGGTTTCCAAAATAAGGGAATGATGCCCACTTCAAAAAAAAGTAGTTAATGCATCTGTGCCTACCGCTGGGGACCAAGGTCAGGTCACGAGCAAAATGATTTATCTACACGTCACAAAACCACACAGCTTGACACAAATGGCAATCTGTTCCAAAAAAGCACTGCAAAAGCATGGAAGGGCAAGGGAGTGACACAGTACTCCCTTTCTAGGGCTGAGGACCTGGTGCAGGGCTGGGAAGCATGGGTGGGTAGGACAAGGGTGCTGCAAGGCCAAAAGAGTTTCAGCTGTGAGAACCTCAGACCGACGGTAGGGCGACTCCAACAAGTCATGTGAGGAGTCGTAGACCTGCTGTTGCATTAATCCACTACAGCCAGGCACCCTCACCCCCTGCTCTTGCAAGATCCATCTGCAGTGGACTGTAACACACTGAAATCTCACCTGTTGCAGTTCTGTGTCACAGGATCCAAACACCATGCAGTTAAAAAACACGTCAGCTCTGCACTCTGACTGTACCCGATGTGTGATTTCTACCACATTTGACAATTTACAGGATGCTATTTCTGGAGACATAGGAGGATTGATTAGCAATCCCAGGTTTAGTTTCAAAGCTCTAAAGAGAATTCCCTCCTATCTTTCCCTAGATTCCTCCTTGGAAAATATTATTTCCACAACACATTATTACGGTTATAATGTTTTAGAGGGAAAACATAGATGCTGCCCTTGGCCCAGGACATTAACATGGGTATAATAGGGCCAGAAAATGGGCAACTAGCACCAGTTACAAAGGATAATTCTTATTCTAAAAATTGCAAAGCAACATAAGAAAATAGCTCTATAATAATTGACTGAAATATCACTATGAAGTCTAATTTTATTTTATTGTAGGTATAAAGTGTGAGAATGATGAAATGACCTCCAAAGTCTTTTTTCCCCCCAACAACTTTCATTTTCTTGGCATTAAGTATTTTGCCTGATTATACACTCTTACAGTTTCAGATCCTTCTTTTAAATCTTATTTTTAACTTAGGAATCACTTTGCATATGACCCCTCATTTTCTTCTATCTTCTAAACCAGTCTAAAATCTCAAAAATGGGGAAAAAAATTTAAAAATCACTCTTCCTAACCATACTTGGCAGCCCAGAGTAGAAACACACTTACTAATCTTCTGCAAATGTTGTTTAGAAAAAACTCTCCCAATTTAATTTCAGCTTTCCTGGGTGTATGTCTGTTCCTTATCCCTTACAGTGTTTTCTTTTCAAACTCAAGAACCACCGAAAAATATGGCCATGTTGTGTTCCACAAAAATAACTGTGTACCACAGCTATTTTCATCTACCACCATCTTCTAAAGACTTTTCCTAAGACAAAATGAAAAAAAAAAGCCAAGGTTGAGACATAGGTGTTTCATTCAGGTAACTATGAAGTCTTAAAGGAAATTGCAAGAAAAACCATTACACTATTGGAGATAAATATTTCATGGAAAAGGGTGTTTTCACACCTAGTTCTGTCCAATGTCACTGTCCCCATGTGCCCTCAACAAAAAAAAAAGTAAATATTGAGTCAATTGCTTAAAAGGATGATTAAATATCCCTTCAATTTTAACCTTATATCTGATTACTGTTGTATGTTTTTGCAGTGACATCATGTCAACAGGACTTCACCACTTATATGACATTAACTGGAGCAAGTCCAGTAACTCCATAGACATTTACACCTTTGCAATGGCTGCAGGCAAAAAAACCCTGTAGCACTGAGAACCTGAAAATAATTGAACTTGCTTTCCAAATTGGAAAAAGGGAGAAAAGAAAATCAATAGTGTGAAGTATGAAAGCTGAGATTATTTCTTTCAACTTAATGCTAGTAAACTTTATTTTTTTTTTTTCCATAATTCATCTCTTTGAAGTCAGCAGGTGCAATTTCCAGTTAATGCATGAGACTCAGACTCCCAAACATTTTCTGAGGACAGGAATGCAGGGTGCATTTGAGGCTGAAGCATTTGTGAAAAGTTCATTTATCCATCACAAGACTTGTTTCTAACCAAGTCCTGCATAGAGGGGAAAGCCTGCTGTGCCTTGCAGGGCAGTGAGAGCTCGGCACAGCCACCCAAGCAGCAGACTCCACCCATATCCCGACTGTGAGGAGGTTTCATCTAGACATTGCTGAGACATCTCTGGTCCTCTCATGAGAGATCCCATTGTTTCTTACTGTCCTCCCTCTGTCTCAGGGACCTCTTGCAGCAAGTTTCCCAGTTTCCCAGCAGTGAAGGTGGCCCAGCTGTCTCAAAGCTGTGAGCTGCTCACTGTTGAGCTGAGCTCTGCAAAACTGCTTAGCGAGTGTCTGCATTAAAGGCCAGACCTTAAGAAAATTGCCATGTGAACCTCTGCAAACCATAACCGAGCGGGCTGCTCTAAAGTTTAGCATTACTTGAAAGGAGGCATTGCCACCTGATCAACAGATGAGCCTGAACATCTTGCACTTGGTAGTTTCTTCTGCTGCCCTTAATGCAGCACCTCCTGGTGCTCCCCGGCAATGCACTAAGTGATGTGAGTAGCATCTGTCATACGCAATTTGTTTCCTCTCCGCACAGAGCCCAGGGAACACACCTTATTTTGGAAGGGCTATAGGGGGCGGGAGGTGCTGGAGCCTCCACGTCCCCGGGGGCAGGCACGTATCTCAGAGCTGAAGCGGTGCGCCGTGTGCCTGGAAGGAGGAGGCACAGGAGAGGATGGGGGGGACACAGGGGGCTCCGAGCAGCCTGTCACCATCTCTGCGGAAAGTTCCCTGCTGCCTCAGGGCCTGAGGGATAGACCAGAGTTTTCCACACAGGTGAGCTTACCAAGGGGCTAGGCCCTGACAACTGAGCATAACGTGAAGCCCAGTTTCAAGCAAGTTTTACGGCACGGTAAAAAATAAATTAAATAAAATATGTATATATAAGAATAGAAGGAAGGATGGTGCAGCGGAGGCAGCAGAAGGAGCCGAGCAGAGCAGCGCTCCTTCCCCACGCCTGCCTGCAAAAGCGCTCGCCCGCCGCCGCATTCCCGAGCATCCCCGGCGGGACCGCAATCAAAACTTCCCCACGCGCGGGGCACCGCCGTGGCACCGGCGGCGGCGACCCCGCGGCCGCAGGGCGATGCCCCGTGCCGGGCGCCGCGCCCCGCTCCGCCCGTGCAGCACTCACCTCTCAGGGCCAGGAGCGCGGCCAGGGCTGCCGGCACCCACCTCCCGCCGCCGCCGGGGCGCCGCCGCGTCATGCCGGGCCGGGCGAGGGGCGCGGAGCGGGCCGCCGAGCCCTGCCTTTCCCCGCCGCCGCCGCAGGTGCCGCCGCCGGTGGTGCCGCCGCCGTCCCGGGACCGCCCGCTCGCGGCGAGGCTCCGCCGTGCCCCAAGCCCCGGTCGCCCGGGGAGGGCGGCAGGCACGGCGGCCGGACCGAGAGCGCAGCCTGGCGGCCCCGAGCCGCCCCCGCAACCCGCCGGGCTGCGGCTGTCACCCCCCGCGCGGCACCGTCCCGGCGCGCAGCGGCACGTCCCACCACCCTCCTCCTCTCTCCGCGCAAATTGGGGGTTCCCCCCTCCTCCCCTTCCCCGCCAACCCGATGCCGCCGCATCCGTAGGGATGCTACACGGGCCAGGGCGTGGAGGTGCGGTCCAGCGCAGGGCTGGAGACTGCCCCCCCACCGCTCCTCCGGATCATCGCGGCAGCGTGGGGGCTTCTTCTTTCCGGAGCCTGCCTACAGCTGCATTGAAGACGGCAGCGGCAGCGCACAGCAAAATATTTGGGATGGTCTGCATGGGACTGGTCGCCGCTGCAGCGCACGGTATAAACACTGCAAAGGTATGAACCACCCTAACTCCGCCATGCAGGAGCCTGGGAAACACGAGCATTCCGCACTCCTGTAAAACCGACCAAGGTATCTTCAAAGGGTGTGAGGCAGGTCTCGGAGTTGGGGAACTGCAATACTGTGTAACGCAGGAATCGCCAACAAGTTGTGTCACAAGCTTAAGTCAGTGCAGTTCTTAAGGCTGCGCAGAAAAATTAATCAGTTGAAAATCAGCACACATCAAGTGTATGTAGAGGGTAGAAAAGGAGAAAGGGAACCCTTTATGAATTTAGGATGAGCTTGTGGGGAAAGGAACAAGCAGAAAGCTTGAACAAAATGACTCCTCACACACAGCCAGCTCCCTGTCCAAGTCTGATCATGGTAGTTTTGCTTTGTGAAAAAAAGCAATTTGACAAGGAAAACTCTCTAACAATTCTGTCAAATGTCCAATTGCTTCATTCCCTCACTCAACGTTTCCTCCCCAGCAAAGCACAGCTATGCAGCCTTTGCATCCTGCAGGCAGCAAATCCATCTTGTCATGCTTCTCCCCACCTCCAGTCACAGTCCCTGGGAGCATCCCCCTGCCCAGACTACCCTATTGTTCAGCACTGTTCAGGTTTCTGCCTCCTCAGTTGTCTCAAAAGGCGCTCTGACCCTTTACATGGCTCCACTACCCCTGTGAAGAGTGGTGGAGGAGAGCTGCACCCAGGAGTGAAGATGGCAAGGAAAGGTCTCAGGGGTAGAAAAACATAAATTTCTTTAAGAACCATGCAAAAAAAGCAAGCTGGTGCCCATAACAACAGCATGTGGAAAGCTAACTACCATTTCACCAGCCTTGGTTAGCCTAGGTTAAGCTCTGCCTTGGACAGCATCAAGCTTTGGCAAACCTCTACCAGAGGACTAGGTAAAAATGTCACCCCAGCAGTCCAGGTTTACCAGTTATCTTGGTTCTGAAATAAAACTACTAACTCTGTTTACAAGGAGCAATGGTTGACCTACCCTTATCAGGCAGCAAAATTGCTCACTGCCACATGCGCTGGGATTTCATTCAGCAAGTGGTGGCTCAGAAAGTCGAGAAGGCATCACATGGTGACTCAGGGGATGTACCCTTTAGTCTCTTTGCAGGTTGGTCTGGTGCATGCTGCATGTTCTCCAACATCAAACCTGATGAGGCAGGTGTTCTGACAGCTCTAGCACTCTAGCAAAGCACCCTCCACCCCAGCCCTGCCATGGGCAGGCAGACTTAAAGAGGATTTTGCTCCATTAAGGAGCCAGCTCTTGGCAAAGGCTCAAGCAGCTGAAGCATAACGCTTCAGAAAAGCATCAAAGGGAGAGCCATAGCCCAGCTGTTCCCCTCATTCTGTGGCAATATGGGAATTGAAGTTTTCTCAGACTCTCTCAGATTGCTTCTCTTTTCTCCAGCTGACTTGCTGCATTTTTCATCAAGCAAAAGGACAAAGGAAAATGATGATTTTATGATCAGAAGCAGTTCCAGGAAACCTCCATCCTTGCGCATACACACAGTGACCACCTTGAGGAATACAACGAGTATGTCCACACATTCACTTACAATGAAGGCTCATGAATGTTTCTTGCCAAACATAACCTCCTTCAGCAAACTCAAGGGCAGAGAGCACAGAGCATATTTGGCACAGTGGCCTGCCACTGCCCTTACTCCTGCAGATCACTTCCAAGAAAGAAAAGATGCAAAGACAAATCAAGTGAAAACAAGAAAAATTGCATATTCTCCCTAGGACTGCCGCACTGCCTTCCTGATCTGCCAAGACTTGGAAGCTGTCTTGACCTAATGGAAATAAGTGTGTTTTTTAGTATAAGGACACAGTGCATTTAGCAAATGCCATCCCAGCTCACTTTGGACTGTTCCTTGCATCCTGCTGTGCATCAGCTGGCAGGTAAACAGCAAAGATCAGTTCACCCTCTACAGTAAATGAATTAATGTGCTTCCTAAAAAGTGCAGTGAGCATAATGTGAACTGAGAGCCTGGTGGTCAGAGAAAGCATTTTTGCCCAAAATGGACCCAAACGACTCCCTCCTGATGCAAGCTGCTAGGATCAGGGAGCATTTTAATCAGCTTTCAGACCTGGTCACCGGCAGCAGATACTGTACCATACCTACAAACCACAGTGACACAGCAAGTGACTTTAGCTGCTTCTTGTAGCAACAGCAAGAACAATCTGTGGCCACACTCCAGAAGGATGGAGCAGCCACAGGGAATAATAATCTTCAGATGCACCAGTCAGTCCTCTCACTCTGGCTCCCTCTTCACCTTATCACCACTTCCAAAAATAGGTTACAGATTGTACAGAAAGGACGTGGCCGAGGAGATACTGTTCCTGGAACTCTGAATTTCTACTTCAGCTGTCCTTGAGCCTCCACAAAATATTAGACTTATGCCAACCATTTATCCAGGGAGTGCAGCACACTCTAGCCTGTTGGACACTAGAGCTATGAGCACAGATATTTGCTGCTCTAGCAGTCCATTTTCCCACCAGTGAGTGTCTATACCTCTTCCTCGGCATCGATGGAGTAGTACATCATGGACAGAGGAGATGTGATTTGCCATATCCCAGGCTACATTGCTCAGAAGAACACACAAGGATCCTTTAACTGAAGAGCTAAGATACTTCCAAGATTGTGCATGTTAGGCTGGACAAGGATAGAAAAAAAAAAAAGAAAAATAAAAAAGAAAGAAAGAAACCACTCCCACCTTCTTCTTTTGAAAGAATTATGATAAGTAATGTAATTCTCATGTCTCAATGAAAAACATCTCTGTGAGTCAAATTTGAAAAGAAAGCTTTTTTCCAGGATGATGCTACCTTTTTTTTTCCCTTTTGCCTTAACATGGCTCTAAAAATCCAGTGGGGATGCAGTTGGGTTCAAGGGCTGCAATAGATGCCAGGCCTTACATCACCATTGCTGTCTCCCAGCTTGTTACTGGGTTATCTATTGTCAGATGGGAATTTATTGAAGGTGACATTGCTTACAAATTGATCAAAATCAGCTTCAGTGAGGTGTCCTTCCAAGATATAAAAAGATGGATAAAATTCACTCAGTTGACCATTAATAACTTCAGTCTGTGAAATTGGTTATCTCCCTTTGACAGACGAAATAGAGTTTGCAGATTGAACTGTTTTAATCCTATCTGAGAAGAAATATGACAGCCCTTCAAATATATACCAAATTAACTATGTCTGTACCTTTTCAATAAAACTAATTCAAACAAAACCCTGGGTTTATTTTGCTGAACACCTGTGTATACAAAACAGAGGTCACTAAATAGAAGAAAAAACAGTGATAACTCTGTCAACTTGTCTATCACAGGTTTTTTTTCTTACTGGACACAGGACTGGTTATGTGGGAATTCTGTCCCAAGTGTAAAGGTTTGTGCTTTTGAAAGCCTGCATAGTGGAACAAGCAGGAGCATCAGGAGGGAGATGTGCCCTCACTGTCCAGCACCAGGTGCAGTCCAGTGCAGGTGCTGTGTATCCAATGCATGGCCAGCATAGGCTTTTGGGTGAGCCCTGTCCAGTCCATGTGTTGGTCAGGATAACCTGATCCCTGGCACAGCAATGGCCTATGCTTGCATGTCAGCCACGTAGGGAGACCACAGGAATATCTGAGGGAAACCAGCCCTGAAACAACAAGCAGATTTCCACACTCCTTCGATGCCAGATGGCAGGAGCGGATGTGTCCATGGAAACCCGGGTGGATTAGGCATACCTTCAAACTTCTCAGCACTCAAGTAGGCCATTGCATTGTTTCTTTCTCCAAGGCCACTTTGACCCACACATCAAGAGCCATCTCTCTCTGCTGTCCCCACTTCATGAGCAGGGAGCCACATAGCAAAACTGCAGGAGCTGGGCTGAGACACTGCTTCCCCTAGATCTTTCTACCCTCGTGGCCACACTGGTCTGGCTGGTTTCTTCACCTGGGCCTGTAGCACCTGTGACATGCTGATTTTGCTCAGTGCACTGCAAGGTGCTCCCCTCCACACTAGTATGGGGAAT